AAAAAAAAAAAAAAAGAAGTTGGATTGTTATAGAGGGAATTCCTCATATGGGTGGGAAACTTTTTCTCCCAGGCCTAAGAAGAACTTACCATTCAGACGCCAAGACATGCACATGTAGACACATTCATTTATTCAATGAATATTTCTTGAATGTTCCCATGTACCAGGTGTTCTAGGTATGTGGAATGTATGGAAATTCTTACATGCCATTTGGTCCTACATTCTACACACACACACACACACACACACACACACACACACCCCTTTCATATAAGAATCCATTGTTTCTTCCATTTTGAATCTTGTAATGTGGCTCCTCACAAATGTGGCAAATTATAAGACCCAAACAGGGTATGTTCTGGAACTTTGGTTTTTCCAGGCTAAAAAGGTTCAGGAGAGCTATGGTTCATGGCTATGAGGGGATGGCAGGAGAGTGATGGTCAAGACAGACACAATTTCCCAGGTACAGTCCTGGTATCAAGTCTGCCTCTCTTCATACACCAACACCTACCACACCTGGGAATAATCTCCCTTATCCATCCTTTGAGGAGCAGGCCCCACTGGCCAGGATTTCTCCCCTCTCCTAGGAGCACTGAAACCTGCCCTCTTATATAATAACCCTTAGGGTCACATGGAGCATCTAGGAAGTCAGAGACACATCCACAGGAGTGAACAATGGTCCAAGTCCATGAGCCATCTGGTGGGAAGAAACCAGATAAGGCTCCAATCAGAGCTGGGGGTTCATCCCTAGATTCCCTTCAGAGCATCATTCCCTACTCCATGATAGTCTGTGATGGGCAGGATTGTACTCTGTTCCTAAGCTTGTGCTCCATTCTAAGACGGCACATACTGGAGGTTAGCACTTCTGAGAAGACTTTCTTAGAGATGTTCTGGAGGACAGGAGGAGAAAGGCCTTAAAAGAGAATTCCAGGGCACATCAGGTAACCAACTGTTCAACTTGCCTGGGACTGAGGGCTTGCCTGGGTTGTGGACCTTTCAGTTTTAAAACTGGGCAAGTTCTGGGTGAACCTGGATAATGTCCCCTAGTGGACAAGCATTCAAGAGCTGGGTGGAGGCTGGGTGGGAAAGAGGCAGGGAGCTAA